AGGCTTCTAGACAGGGAGTGTCAAGAACTAGATGTTACCTAAGTCTCCATGCCCCTGCCCTCCTATTGTTAATGCTTTAGAACAGCCACAAAATTGACCTTCAAAATGAGAAGGAGCCCTCCCAGAAGTCAGTCTTGCAAACTGATCGGTCAGGAAAGATCTGATTACTGGGTCAAGGTACAGAGAGAAGATAAACAAAGGGCTGGCCTCTAAGTGGATGTAGTAAAACCTGTACAACTTGGGAGATTCCAATTAGAGATAAGGAGGAAGGGCAGGCCCAAGATATGGATCCTCTAAGCCAGGCAGGCAGGAGGCTGGCCCACTGCCAACGCACACTGAAGCAAGCCCAACTAATGCTGTCACAAACAACACCTAACAAAGGTTTAAGAAATGTGGCTACTCTAACAGGTTAAAGCACTCTTCAGCTCTGCAGTTTCACTTCCAAAAATGAGAAATAACCAAAGGAGTGTACACAGAAGTGTATACAAGGATGTTCACTGCAGCACTGTCTACCAGAGCCTGACATAAGAAGCAATGTGAATGTCCAGCAGTAGGGGATTGGTTTAATAAATTATACCGCATTGAAACAATACAATTGGCTGGGTGCAGTGGCTCATACCTGTAATCCCAGCACTTTGGGAGGCTGAGGTGGACGGATCACTTGAGGTCAGGAGTTCAAGAACAGTCTGGCCAAAGTGGTAAAATCCCATCTCTACTAAAAATACAGAAATTAGCTGGGCATAGAGTCATGCGCCTATAATCCCAGGTACTTGGGAGGCCGAGGCATGAGGATCACCTGAACCCAGGAGGTGGAAGTTGCTGTGAGTCGAGATCATGCCACTGCACTCCAGCCTGAGCAACATAACAAGATCCCTGTCTCTACAAAAATAAAAATTAAAAAAATTAGCTAAGCATGGTGGCACATGCCTGTAGTTCTAGCTGCTCAGGGAGCTGACGTGGGAAGATTGCTTGAGCTCAGGAGTTCACATCACTGCACCACTCTAGCCTGGGTGACAAAGGAAAGCGGGAGGAAGGAAGGAAGGAAGGAAGGGAGGGAGGGAGGGAGGAAGGAAGGAAGGAAGGAAGGAAGGAGAAGGAAAGAAAGGAAAGGAAGAAGAAGGAAGGAAGGAAAAGGAGGAAAGAAAAGGAAAGACAGAGGATTGACATAAAAAGATGGTCATGCTATATTGTTGGATAGAAAAAAGCAGATTATACTTGTTTGTTTACTTTATTTATTTATTTATTTATTTGTTTATTTATTTGAGACAGGGTCTCACTCTGTCAACCAGTAATAACCGATAATTAGGCTTTATGTAGATTTTCTTTTTTTTTGAGACAGGGTCTTGCTCTGTCACCCAGGCTGGAGTGCAGTGGCACAATCTCAGCTCACTGCAACTTCGGCATCCCAAGCTCAAGTGATCTTCCCACCTCAGCCTCCCACGTAGCTGGAACTACAGGTGTTCACCTCAACACCCAGCTAATTTTCTGTACTTCTGGTAGAGACAGGGTTTCACCATGTTGCCCACGCTGGTCTCAAACTCCTGACCTCAAGAGATTCGCCCACCTCAGCCTCCCAAAGTGCTGGGATTACAGGCATGAGCCACTGCACCAGCCCATACTTTCTTTCCCCCAAAAAGATGGATGTAGAGGGTCAGGCGCGGTGGCTCACGCCTGTAATCCCGGCACTTTGGGAGGCCAAGGTGGGCGGATCATGAGGTCACGAGATCCAGACCATCCTGGCTAATACAGTGAAACCCCGTCTCTACTAAAAATACAAAAAAATTAACTGGGTGTGGTGGCAGGTGCCTGTAGTCCCAGCTACTTGGGAGGCTGAGGCAGGAGAATGGCATGAACCCGGGAGGCGGAGCTTGCAGTGAGCCAAGATCACACCACTGCACTCCAGTCTGAGCAACAGAGCGAGACTCAGTCTCAAAAAAAAAAAAAAGATGGATGTAAATGTAGAAGGAAAATATTCTGAAATTCCAGCAGAGATTATTTCTTTAAAACTCCACCTCAAATGTTGTCAGACAATTAAGTGAACAAATCTAGAAAGAGTACTTAGCACATAGTAAGTGCTCAGTGAGGGACAGGGAGATTTTTATGTATCATTTGTATTTGCTCAGTTTTCCTCCGATCGACAGATCTTCCTTGCAGAATTAAATACTTTTTTAAAACACAGGTTTTGGCTCTTAGTCATATTTATATCTAGAGCTATGGTTCTCAGAGGTGATTTTGCCTCCCTGGGGATATTTTTGGGGAGGGGGTGCTACTGGCATCTGGTAGGTAGAGGCCAGGGATGCTGCTAAACATCTTACAATGCACAGGACAGCCCCACCACCACAAAGAATCATCTAGTCCCAATGTTGGCAGTGCCATGGTGAAAAATCCCTGACTTGGAGGAAACTGTCACTGCAAGGTGTTTCAGACTCCTGGTGTCCCTCACCCCAGAGCAGCTCCATTCAAGAGACACACACACCACCCAGATCATCCAGGTGACCAGATGCTCCCAAGATCTAGAAAAAGCCCCTGCATCACAGCCGACAAATGATCTCGATCAGATGTCCCAGAAAAAAGTCACTCGTGGAAGAATCCTCCTAAAGCTTAAGTCTTCAACCCTCAGGAGCAATTCTCCTCCCCCCACAGAAGAGAATAATGGTTCAAATGAATTATCACTTTTTTTTTTTTCTTTAGAGTCCTAAGAATTAGCCTCTCTGGTGAACAGTAAACAGCTCTGGTGGGCAGAGGGCCCTGTGGTGGTTAACCCGTTGTGGACCAACCCCACTGAGGCTTCTGTGTAAATGGTACTTCTGTCAATAGATGTGACACCCACAGTACAGAGATTGCAACGAAGACAAGGGTCCTTTGAGACCAAGGAAAGGGAGGAGGAGATGCTCTTTAGCCCTGGCACCAGATGACTGCTGGCTCTGGCTTGCCACCTCCCTCTTTCCTCCAAAACCAGCCAGATAATTTCATCAAATGATGATACCCCCAAATACAGAATGGATGTGCAACCTCACTGAAAATAAGGGAAGAAAAAGCCACAGTTTAACCTGGGGTTTCTCCACCTCTGACACTGCTGATGTTTGGGGCTAGATCATTCTTTGTTGTGGCAGGACTGTCCTGTGCACTGTAAGATGCTGAGCAGCTCCCTGGCCTCTACCCACAAGACACCCCACAAGACACAGTTTTGACAAAAATGCCTCCAGGCATTGTCAGATGTCCCCTGAGGGGCAAAACTGCCCTCAGTTGAGAACCACTGACAAATGGATTCTGAATCCCTGTCCAGAGCAAGCTGGCTCTGACTTGTAACTATTCCTGGAACCAAAGAGGAAACAAGCAAGCAAAAAAAACCCACAACAACTCAGTCACAAAATTAAACAACTTTTCAATGCTAGGGCCAGTTCGCTCCCAAGTCCCTGCCTCGACAGTCAGTATTATCTCAAGACTGTAACACTGATAATAAGAAAGTTTTGTGCATTCAGCAGTATTGACTGAGCGTCTGCTATGTGCCGGGCACTGTTCTGGGCACGAGGGACACAGAGTGGATGTAAAAGACCAAGCCCTTGAAATCAGATTGCTTACCCAGGTCTGGAATCATACACACCAGACAATTTGCACTCCCTTAAACACTGATTAATCACTCTAGCAAGGAACCAAAACTGGATTCAGGAACTCATAACCACACCCCCTACAGCAAAGACCTTTTTGGCACTTATGCTTTACACACACCACCTCATCTACTCCTCACAGCTGGCCTAGGAGATTAGCATCCCTGTTTCACAGCTGGGGACACTGAGGCTCAAGAGGTGAAGGAAGGGAACTACAGACTCCAGGTAACCACAACCATCCCAGAGCTCAGGACACTGTGGGAACTACCACCTCCAACAAGCTTCATTGCCCACTAAGTCAGACTGCCCTTAAGGTCTCCTGTCTGTGAGTTTCAGCTGGACTCTGCCCTGGGGGCTGGTATCTTCCTGCAAGGCCACCAAGTGAATCAGCAGGCCCGGACAGAGCCCACATGAAGGAGGAGAATAGAGGCTCAGGTTGCACCCTTTACCTGGGACCCAAAAGGCAAAGGGCAGGGGCAGTGGTGCTGGTTTCTGGTTCCCATTTTCCATCCGGGGCCTTGGCTGGGCTGGGCTAGGCTGAGGGAGTGGGAAAAGAGGATCTGAAAGTGGACCGCCTTCCCAATGCGCCCAGGAACTTCAGCACGACATACAGGGGAGGGGCTTCCTCTTGCAGAGCCTAAACTGAGGGAGGAATTGGTGCCAAGCTCTGTATGTCTGATGTCACCTCGCAAAACAGCTCCCCCCACAACCCTCATCCCCGTCCTAAAAGGAGGAAAAACTTAAGGTGGTTTCCCCTAGAAAGAGGCCCTGGAGTTTTGCAATTCCACCTTCAAAACACCCTGTCCCCGCCTTACCAGGCTTCCTACCCTTGGAGGGGGAGACGGGAGTCTTTGATCTGGAATGGGGGAATTCTGAGGGAAGAAGGAAGGGTTCGTAGGTCCCATGAGGGAGAGGCTGGAAGCGTTTAAAGAGAAAGCTTACGAAATGGGGAGATTCATTGTAAGGTGAGGGAGTTGAGAGCCATCAGAAAGCGCCAGGGATGAAAGAAGCACTTTGGGGAAGAAGGGGCAGGAGTCTTTGGGGGAGATGGTGGATTAGAGAATGCCTAGGGGAGATGGAGATGGAAGAGTAAGGGGTGTTGGGGGGACGGATGATCAGGGGGCATTTGGGGGATATGGAGGACTGTGAGGTGTCTAGGGAGAGGGAGGATTTGGGGAGGACAGGGAGGATGTGACATGTTTAGAGGGGAGAGGACTTGGGAGTGGTCCGGGAAAGGGAGACTTTAGGGTGAGTGGAGGTAAAGAGGATCTTGGGTGACTGGGGAAACAGGACTTGGGGATGTCTAGGGCAGAGATGTTTAGGGGATACTAAGGGGAAGGATTCGGGTGCGTGTGGGACTGCGGGCCGCCTCCCCCCTCTATTCCGGCTCACCGAAGAAGGGTGGCAGGTGGGACACCGCCTCGAGGAAGGGCCCGGTCTCGATCTGCTTGTCCGCGGGCAGCGGTTTCAGCAGGTGTTCGGCCAGCAGCGCCATTTCGGGGTCGAGGCCCGCGGTGATGCCCCAGCCG